TGGGTTACTGACCTACTTACCCTGGGCTACTGACCTACCTACTTTATTATGGGTCTAAGAACTACTTAGAATGTTACCCAGGGTTACTGGTCTACATGTTTTACTATGGGTTCCTGATCTACGTACGTTTAAGTCGGGGTTAATGACCTATTTACGTTTTACCAAGGGTAAAACATAGACATAGATAAGATTTACCCAGGGTTACTGACCTTCTTGCGTTACTGAAGGTTCTAGAGCTATGTACGTGTTACCCTGTGTTACTACCCAACTTTTTTTTTCCATCGTGGTTTCAATTACAGCAGCTTCATAAGTCAGATGTTACATTAAAAAACCAATGTATAAATGTTCGTAGAATCGTTCAAGAACAAAGATTTTAAAAATTTGATCTAACTTTACATGAAGTTAATCTAGCTTCTGTCTGCGGTACCAGCATAAATAACAATAGCTAGCATACTAAACAGACATTTTGGCGCGTGTTATTTCTAACAAACAGTTTTGTAAGCTCACATATTACATAAATATTAAAACTTTCACAAGTTGATGATCGTAAGTATTATGACAACATAACTATAATATACATAACATATATATAAACTCACCCATTGTGTCGTCACCATATCTGATAGCCGAGTATCGCCGGTCCACTAAATGACCTTAACCCTAGTGCTGTTCCATATCTACCTGGAATAGTCCATCCCGTGTGTTATCGTACACACTGGTATCTGGAAAGTAAATAATTAGTCTGGTGGGTGATCATTTTCTCTAGTGTTTGTTTAAAATTTGTTTTGGATTTATAACATTTTGTAGCTAATTTCGAGATAAATCTACTGCTATTTTCGAGTTTACGACAACCCACGTCGTCTTATAAGTACGCCCCACATTGTCAGAGTTACCCCTGTAACTTTTTCTCAATAAAGGTGTATTTTTCTGGGTAGTGGGGTCTACGGGGCTTCACCTCAACAGCGAATACTAGGCTAGATATTTTAAACGATTACAAGTTTATGATCGACTGTTGTTTCACTGGCCGTATACTAAAACAGTACATTAACTGTTAATGTTTTCTCTTTTGAACAGATAACCTCTTGACCTGGTCAAACTAGTGTCCCTTTGGTACGGGTATTCCTTTGATCTGAACCAGTTGTCTGGTCAACTAGTGTCCCTTTGATACGGGTATTCCTTTGATCTGATCCCAGTTGTCTGGTCAACTAGTGTCCCTTTGATACGGGTATTCCTTTGATCCGATCCCAGTTGTCTGGTCAGCTAGTGTCCCTTTGGTTCGGGTATTCCTTTGATACGATCCCAGTTGTCTGGTCAACTAGTGTCCCTTTGATACGGGTATTCCTTTGATCTGATCCCAGTTGTCTGGTCAACTAGTGTCCTTTTGGTACGGGTTGCCTCCTGATGTTATCCCATTGACCTGGTCAAACTAGTCCCGTATAGCATCTTGGCCTGGTCTGTGTGATCTAGTCCCGTTTATCTGGTCATAAAAGGCTTGTCTATCTTCTTGGTTTCATCTTGTTCCGTTGGTCTGGTCTATTTGGTCTAACCACGTTGTTCTGATCTAGAACCGTTGGTCTAAACCTTACTAAGAGACCAGATCTACGCAATGAAACTATCCCAATGAGACTTTGCCTTGTTTCAAAGAATACCATGTAAATTGTGTGGTCGTTTTGTATCTGTTAACGTAGACACATTGCAGCTGTAGAAATGAGATATGTGTGTTATATTTAAAGGAACCATGTGTAGCAGCATATTTCGCTGTTTTGCCAACCGTCGGCTTTGCTTGCGTGTTCCGCCAGGGTATTTTGATGACCGGAGGCTTGGTGTCTGACGCTTGGAGCAAACTAGCTAGCATTTGTGTTTCTGCTTAGTAGATATTGAAGACCATATTAAGAGCGATACGTTTCCCTGGTTTGGTCTTTTTTTATAACTTTTTATTTGTTCAAAGGACATTTTATATAATTTCGATACAGATAACACAGTATAACTTTCTCTCACTGATGCAATGTCAACTAATTGTAAGACTCTTAGGAATACATGTTTTCTATATATATCTATACTACTGTTAATGGGAGACAGAAAAGGGGAAGTATTCAGTGTCAGAAAGAAAATTGAGAGCAGAGAGGAAAGTAGGTTTAGAAAAATTAAATAGGATCAGCAGAATGATGCGAAATAGTACCATATGTCGATACTGATAGTGTGATGCAATAGCAGTAACATACATGTAGATAAGGACATCTTGTCAGACAATTGTCTTATTCAGGTAAATTCAAAAAGTTTTCTTCCTTTCTTTCCATTCAGTCGTACACCTCCCCTTTACCATATGAAGAATATGTTTTGTACTGTATGATAATCCTCAACCATGCTCAATGGTGTTTCTATTGAAAGAGTATTGTGTAATCTACCTGTTTTGTAGATGGATGACTTCAGAACCAAAAGTATTTCATTGTCTATTATTCTGTTATATATCCCCGTTTGACCAATTGTCCAAATAAAATATTTTCCTTATTAAGTGAAAAAGGTATAGTAAGAGCATTTAAATGTGTTTCAAAAGTTTTGAACTTCATTACATTTCCATAGGATATGTGTGATTGGCTCCCTTTCTGCATTACAGAAATTACGATTGGTCTAATCTTGTATACGAAATAGTTTGTTGTCAGAATGTAATGGTTTATTCTGTACTGAAGCCATTGAAGTTTTGTATTTTTAGTCACACGAAAAGGTAGGATGTAAGTTTTCCGCCAAGTTTCTTCATTGTAATTGAATAGGTTATTCTACATTTGTGATCCTGTAATGTTACAGTCGTGTTTAACAAAGACTTGATACACAAATCTGTGATCATTTTTCTTGCTTTGTCTTATTTCCAGGTGAGAAGGGATGGTTGGATAGGATAGAGAACTACTTGTTACGATATATTGTTTTACATATTTCTTAAAGCTGTTGATTACTTCATTGTATTGTACAAAATTTGCTTTATTCCCATACCTTTCAACAAATTCATTATAATTGTAAAATAAATAGACTTCTTTAATGCATCATTAACCATCATAATTCCCTTATTGTACCAGGGTAGGTACATAATTGTTTTATTATCAATTGTTATATATTCTTACAATTGTTAGTAACTTTTTTCAAGTATTGGTTCCAACAGTTTGCTAATTTATGTATATTTATATCAGTCTGAAGTATTGTTATCCATTAACTTGTGTATCTAAAAATACGCTTAATCCAACCGACTTTCAGGGCGTTAATATATGATTCTATATTTGTCATTTTAAGCCCTACTTGCATATAATCTTTCGTTACAACAGCTCTCTTTATTTATTTCCACTATTTAAGAAAAATGAAAGTTTCCTTCCTTCTAATTACCGACCTATCTCACTATTAAGCTTTGTAGGTAAGTTATTTGAAAGATTTGTACATAAATACCTCCATAATTATTTAATAGATAATAATTTACTATATAAATATCAATCTGGATTTGTTAAAGGGCACTCGACTGTTTATCAGTTAATCGAAATATATCATAATATATGTTCAGCATTAGAAAATAAACAGCAAACCTGTATGTCTTTCTTTGATATATCGAAAGCCTTCGATAGAGTGTGGCACAGGGGTCTTTTAATAAAATTACATGCTTATGGTATAAAAGAGAACATCCTTTCTTGGATCCAAGACTATGTACTGGACAGAAAACAACAGGTTATTTTAGGCAATTCTACTTCTTCTATTGGCCATTTAAATGCAGGAGTTCCACAAGGTTCTGTCCTTGGTCCTCTGTTATTTTTGATATTCATAAGCGACATTACAGACAATTTACTTTCACTTGCAAGAATGTTTGCTGATGACACATCTCTATCTTTTTCTTCTAACAATGCAATAGAAATAGAGCATGTAATGAATCATGACTTAGCTGTAATTGAAGACTGGGCTGACAAATAGAATATAAATTTTAATCCCTCTAAAACAGATGTAATGCTTTTTCATTGTTCTAACACTCAATTCAATATCAATTTAATATTTAATAACACATCATTGCAAATTTCAGCTGATCACAAACATCTCGGGGTAACATTAAATGAAAACTGCAAATGGACAGAACATGTAAATAATATTGTCAAATCAGCATCAAAACACATATCAGTATTACGGAAATTGAAATTTACTTTAAATAGAGATACTTTGTCGAGATTGTACATTGTTTTCATAAGGCCCCTTTTGGAATATGCTTGTGAAGTATGGGATGAATGTAATATTATTAATTCAGATAAATTAGAGAAATTACAGTTAGAGGCTGCCAGAATTGTGACTGGTCTTCCTATTTTCACCAGTCGACAAAGTTTATATTATGAGACTGGGTGGGAAACATTAAGCAATCGTCGAAAATCCAGGAAACTTACATTAATTTACAAAATACATAATAACCTTACCCCTTCCTATTTACAGGACATTATGTCTAATCCAGTACATACTGTTAGCAATTGTAATTTGCGAAATTATTATGCAATTCCAAGAATAAGACTAACTTTATTTGAACGATCATGTGATACTATTTCTACATTTAGACGTAAAATTTCTTTGAAGGGAGCATGTGCTCCTAAGTTTTATTCTTCTGGTGACCGAAAGTTAAATATCCTACATACACGATTAAGGTATAAATGTAGTTCCTTAAGTGCCTATCTTAAACGTATATATTTGATTCAGTCGCCCCAATGTAGATGTTTTCATGCCATAGAAAATGTAGAACATTATTTGTTAGAATGTCCCTTATTTGTTGTTTCTAGAAATGTCTTGAAACATAAACTTTCGAATTATTTAAATCTAAATGAATTATCTGCAGATCTGCTGCTGTTCGGTTCTGACACGTTTTCTGAGAATGAAAACTGCACTTTTTTTCATTAGTCCAAGACTTTATTAGACATTCCAAACATTTCGACTAATATAAATCATATTCAACTAACCAGTCATACTTAGTAATGTGGTACTACTCTGACACAGTGGATCGCATCCGCAACAGCAGGGAGCCCAAGCTCATAATTACAACAAGCAGGAACTGTGGTGTGGTACATACCCGACGAAAGTATAGACATTACATGGTGCGGTGCAATATGTGTAGAGAGATCCAGTATTTGTCAAGCGGTGTGCGATCTACTGTGTCAATTGGTCATCACAATGCTAACTATTATGTTGGTTATTCTATTATTAAATGTATGTACACATGTGCATCACCTTTTTTAGGCATTATATATCTATCGTGTCATCAATCGATCAGTAAGCATTTAAACATCAATTATATATATGTAACACTCTATTGTTATATGGACATGCATTTTATTTTATACAGACATGCGGGTACAGTCAATTTATCTGATAGGTAAGTTTTGACATTTTTCATCATCATTGTATTTCCTTAGTAATTTGCGGTCATATGTATATTTCATCATGTATATTTTATGGGAAAAGACGGATTGTAAGTTTTTAAACTTGTGTCCGATCCCATTTGCAATCAAAATATGTTTAAATCAAATCTCTTTATTTTATCCGATTTCCCCTTTCATAAAAGTTAAAAAGAACTACATTTAGTATTCTAATACAATTAGCACTAGGATTTGGTTTTAATATGAAAAGGTGATTTAGTTGTAATGTTAACACATATTTTATAATACGAATTCTTCCAATGGAAATCTTAATTCTTCTACTCCAAATCTTAACAAGAGATTTGAGCTTAACTAGTTTTTTTGTCATAATTAAGTTTGGTTATTGTGCAAGGTCGACGTGGAACTCTATCCCTCAGAGTGTAAATTGATCAATTCCCCAGTTTAGATTCAAGTTTGATAGAAAATTTTCTTCACAATATTTTTTGCTGCCTTTCCATACAACTTGATTTTTTGCTATATTGATTTTTAAACCGGATATTTTCTCATATATGTTAAGTTCCTTTATTGATTCTTTCAATGAGGGCTCGGATCCACTCAATATAAGGGAAGTGTCGTCAGCATATTATGACACAGTTATTGGACACCCCTCTATATCTATTCCAAATATATTTCTATTACTTCTAAGTCTTATTGCCAAAATATCAGCACATAAGATAAAGATATACGTCGCGATCGGGTCTCCTTGGCGACAACCTCTATCAATTTGAAAAATGTACAGCAGATGTAGTGCTCCTATGTAAGACTCTTATCCAATTATTAATTTCATTTCCAAAGTTTAAAAAGTTCAAAACTTGATCTATAAATTTCCAAGCAACCGAGTCAAAATCTGTCTCGAAGTTTTTCATTAAAAACATAGCAGAGATATCATGTTCCTCTGTATATTTCATAATATCGTAAATGGGTCTTGTATTCTCACCAAGATAGAGCCCCGATAAAAATCATGTCTGGTCTGAGTTAATAAGCTTACCTAAAAATGGTCCATTCTATTTGCTATTGAGCCTGAAGCAATTTTGTAAACAATACCTAAAGGTGTGATTGGTCTCCAATTGTTCAAAATATCTCTGGGTTTATCATCCTTTGGTATGTACGTGATAATTCCTCTTCTTTGCATATCTGACAATTCATTATTTATAAACCTATAATTAATGGATTTAACGACAAAATTTCCTAGCTGTCACCAAAAACATTAAAAAGTTCTGACGTAAATCCATCTGACCCTGGACTTTTATTACTTAGTTTCTGAGGCCTCCCTATGTGATATTAATCCCTCCAAACTAACAGATTCTGAATGATCTAAATTTCGAAACATTGCAATTAATGATAAATTCATCTACGTTTATATCCTCTACCTGATTATTTGAAGTAAAGAGTTTTTCATAAAAGGCCTGCAAATCTTAAAGAATATCCCCCTGATTTTTCACAATTTCCCCATTTTCCTTTTGTACTTTTTTTAATAATTTTAGGGGTGAAGTTTTATCTTCTAATTAAAAAAAAAAGTTGTTTTTTCCCCTTCTTTAATCCACTTGGTTTTTGGTCTTATAATGCTACATTTCTTCAATGTTTATATCATTTTGGTTTTCTAATACCAGTATCTTTAATATAAGAACTTTTTCTCTAGCATTTCTTTGTTTCTTTTTATAAGCCCCATATGAAATTGTTTTGCCTCTAATTTCCATTCATTTATCATATTTTGCAAGTCTACACCTGGCCTATTTTTTATATTTATTCTGATTTATAAACTGGGAGACAGTATTGAGCTTTCAATTTGAATGGTATCATTTATTTCTTTAGTATAGTCTGGGTCATGTAGTAAAACATTGTTTTTCCATAAACCGTTCCCTTTCTTAAATCTGTATATCTGGGCCCATATTCATGAAACCGTTCCCATGCTTTAAGAATGGATTTTGTGCTCAAGCCCAATAACTTGTTTCGGTTATGAATTAATACTTTTGTCCGTAATTTCAGAAGGTTATTTACACTGTAAACAAGAGATACCAGAGGGGATCTTGGCGCCCACCATCGCACCATGCCCATTGGTTCTATATAAAATTGATCTTTTCTCTTCTCTTATCTGTTCTGTTGAGCCCTGTACAGAGTAAATGCACCCTGTGGTAACTTTGGATCAAAGTTGAAAAATCCTTCCTACTGTTTGACTTTTGTGCTTTCGAAGTGAGGTTTCCGTTTGACCTTTTCCTAGCATATGGTTTGGTTTGTGTGTGTTCTACGTCCTATTAACAGCTATGGTCATTTAAGGACGTGCAAGGTTTTGGTGGTGGAGGTCAACCGGAGTTCTAGGAGAAAAAACACCGACCTCCAGCCAGTACCTAGCGACTGCCCCACGAATTCTAGATTGACAAAGGGCGATTTGAACATCCCTCCATCTAATGATAGGGAGATGGCTTACACAAATCACAGATACAATGTTTAAAGTAGCATCCGTAAGGGACATAACTCTTTCAAAACCAGAGGTATAATGTGTGACATGGCATATATCTTTAAGGAAGATAACTCTAAAACAAATCAGAGGTATAATGTGTAAGGTAGCATACATCCTTCAGGAAATTAACTCCAGATAGCATCCGTAAGGGAGATAACTCTTACACAAATCATAGGTATAATGTGTTAGGTAGCATTATCTTTAAAGGGACATCACGTGAAAAGGCGGGTTTTTTTTAATGAATGTATGTATTGTATGCACTTCCACTTATGTTACCACGCTATCCCCATATTCATAGTCCGTTCCAAATGTCCAGTTTGACCACTTGAATTGTTCGGGAAAGCCCTGCTAAAAATAGCGCCGATAACGTCACCTGACTAGGCAGTAAACACAAGTGGTGCGAGCGAGATGAAACGGTTT